TTGGGCGAGCACGATATGGTACCTACACTAGAAGAGTATAAGGCGACCGTTGGAATTGATTTCAATTCAAGAATCATCGAACCCCTAATTGGATTAAAGCCCACAAGTGTTATAGTCGAATTCTTGAACTTGAACACTTCTCAAGTGGAAAAGTTGATCAAGTCAAATACCGAGAGATTTCCTCTATCCTACTTGGTGGCCAATTACTCCAAATTGCCAAAAGAAATTGGAAATACTTCCGCAAGGGTTTTCATTCTTGCTTTCTTCGGATTCATCTTATTCCCTGCATCAAGGACCGGATTGAATTCTCTTGTTGCAATAATTGCTAGGCAAGCTTGCCTAAAATGGGACTTCTCCAATATGCTTTTGGTGGAGACTATCATTTCATTGAACAAATACCAGAATCAACAAAAAGGTGTACTTCAAGTCTCAGCCGGGTTGCTTTTGGTGTGCTTTATTTCACATATCCGACCTTGGCAACATAATGTGCTCATTCGAGAGATTGATTCATCTACCAACCCCATTGAAAAGTATTTGAAACTCCAAGATAAACTACCAAAGTACTCTTTTCATGAATGGGCAAACTTCATCAGAACATTGACTCCCGACTAGCTTCAATGGAGAATTCAATGGCCAAAGATAATGAAAGCCCAAATTACTTGCGAAGAAGGCAATTTGGTGCCATTGCTTGGATTGAGTGGTGGAATCGCCTATTGCCCACTAAGAGCCATACGAAAATTCGGAATGATTCAACAAATTCAACCTATTTGGCATCCTGAGGAGTTCACATTTGAGATACCACAAGGACCCCTATCGGAAAAGGAAAATAAAGAGCTGTGAATGAGGGTTGATTGGATCGTGGATTCCTTGAAGAAATCAACCGAGCAAATAGTACAATGGCCTGAAGATTTGGAAGGAGAAATGAAGCTCTTCTTGGCATCCAATGAATACTTTTTTTTTTTTTTTTTTTTTTTTTTTTTTTTTTTTTTTTTTTTTTTTTTTTTTTTTTTTTTTTTTTTTTTTTTTTTTTTTTTTTTTTTTTTTTTTTTTTTTTTTTGTTTTTTTTTTTTTTTTTTTTTTTTAATTTTTTTTTTTTTTTTTTTTTTAAATTTTTTTTTTTTTTTTTTTTTTTTTTATTTTTTTTTTTTTTTTTTTTTAATAAAATATTTTTAATTTTTTTTTTTCCTTTCCATAAAGTGGTTAAAGGCTAAGCGACCAATCGATGTCGAACCATATGTACCTTTGAGTGTTACTGCCCATTTTGATGAGCCATACATCTCAAAATACGTTGTGCCAAACACACTAGGCATAGAACCGTATGTTCTCGAAGAGGTTGTAATCGATGTGGAAGAATGGGAGACACGAGCCAATGAATATGAAGAGGCTGAAGCTACCTTAGCTAGCAAGAAGCCTAGACTTATTTAAGCTAGTGTTCCCCTATTTTGATGTAAAGCATTGTAATAGAGATTTTCAAAATTGAAACAATTGTTTGATGAAGTTTCAAAGTACATTTTGCAAAAAAAATCACCATGGATTACAATGCTTTGAATTGTATGATCGCTTAAGAAGAATATTGATAAGAAATTCCATGCAAGGCTAAAGCTTGCATAAAAGTTCTTGTCCTTGTTAATCATGGGAAATCATACAATTGAAAGAATGCAAGGTTTCATGATTCTTTCATTATGCTAACAATGGGTCTTTTCATGAAACAGGTTGTTTAGCAACGGAAGGTAAAAGACCTCGAACTCGCTTACAAATAAAAATGGCAGAAGAAGAAACTCATACTCGACTAGCCGAAGTTGAGAATCAAATAACCCAAATGGCCACCATGATGGCAGAAATAAAGGCTTTCATCATTGCATCTCGAGGATCCTATCCCACTATTCCAAATGCGGAAACTTCAAACACTACTGAAGCACCAATTGAAGAACCAGTTAGAAACAAAGGACCAGCTCAAGAAAATCCTCCAAAGACTATGCCTGAGGTAGTGAACTTGGAAGAGGATGATCAGGCCAAGAAAACATCCAGAGTAAAGGATGAAGAAGAAGCCAAAAGATTGGCCAAAATCAAAGAATGCCTAGCAAGTCAAGGATATGAACTCCAAAGGTTCGACAAATTCTCACCATATGCAAAAGTGGTTGTTCCAGAGAATTACAAGGAACCGGAATTTGTGAGCAAGTATGATGGCACTGGCTATCCCAAAAACCATCTGAAGTATTATCTGTGACATTCTGAAATCCGACCCACTTGGGATTTATGAAATGAATAGTTTATAGATGTGCTTATAGTTAGATCTCGCCCGGAATTGATCACTTCAGGAATACTAACCGTTGGGGAAAGGCTAATTAGGGATTTAAATTCGCACGACCAAAGAACTCGATCGTGAACCGACTTTCGACCATGAAAATTGTCGAGGTGACATTTTGAGCCACTGTAGGCCGATCCAAGGATAGCCAGGGATCCGTTCGCCACTATCATATTAGTGGATCGCGGGTGATTCCGCTGGACCACGAAATGAATTGACGAATGACCCTAAACCTATACCAAACGATCGTGCCCGTCGGATCTAGTGATCGATCCTCGCGATTAAGTGACAATCGAGGTCGGCATGACCCGAGTAAACTTGTACGTGGCATGATTCAGTATCGGCCACGGGTCAAATGTGCGAATTTCCCCAAAAGCCACTCGTTAGTATGAGATACGCGCAAGTTACGTTGCTTAGAACTTAGTCATTAATTAGAGATCAAGTTGAGCATTGGAAATTCAGAAAGTCACGGCGAATCATTTGGACAATGTTGTCATTTGCCCGGGTAACCTCGGTTTTATCCGAATCCTTCAGAAAAATTTAATTTAGACGAGAAATGGAAAAATGACCATTTTACCCTTGGAGATTTGTTAAGGCCAATGTAATTTGGGAAGGGCATTTTGGTAATTTCGCCCTAACTTTAGAATTAGAGATTTTTAGACTATTTTGCCCTCGAACTTTTTGAGAAATTCTCAAATTGCCCATGGATATTTTGGAAAAGATTCGATCCGGACCGTCGATCTCAAGATAAGATCGAATCTAGGCCGTCGATTGGAATTGTGAGAGAAGGGCATGATGGTCAATTGGCCCCCAATAATTGACCTTAGATTATTTAAGCCAATTTTCCTTCTCTCTCTCCTCATACTCTCTCTCTCTCATTCGGCTCTCTCTCCCTCACCCTCACCGAACCGACCGCCCCTCCCCCTTGCCGCGCCGCCGCTCGCCGGCCACCGTCCACCGTGCCACCACCGTCCTATCACCGAACCGCACCACCACCTTCACGCCGTCCATCTCTCTCTCCCCCTCCCGTGGCCATGAGTGAACCGCGGCCAAGGACGCCGCTCACCGCGGCCCGCCATCCAGCCAACCGCCGCCGTAGCTGAGCTGCTCGCCGCCGCCGTGTGCCGCCGTAAGCCGCCAATCGGCCGCTTCCCGTTCCCACTCTAGCTAAGCTAGTCTAGAGTTCGGGTAAGTCACGCCCTAAACTCTATTTAGGACTTCGGGTATCAACGAACGAATTAGAATTTAATCGGGTTAATTAGGGGCCGTTTAGGGGTTAAATTAGTGGATCGGTTTGAGGATTGATATGTGCTGATTTGAGGTTCAAATTGTGACGTTTCGAGGCTGAATTGACGCCGAATTATGCTGGAAATTGGGACTCGTAATGACAAGTATTTGGCTCGATTTAAGGGCAAATGGTGTCAGTTTGGTGCACGGTACGGTGGCTAGAATGTGATGTTTGTTATGGCTTGAAATGAGTGTGGAAATGCTGAAATTGTGTTCATTATGTGGCTGTATTTGTGAGCCCGTGAGCGGCCTGGTATGTTTGTTGTACCGTGACTTGATTGTTTGAAATGTGCTTCGTTATGTGCACGCTTGGGCCGAATTGAAATTGACTGTCAATTGGCCGTGTTGGGTGTTTATTGAGCTTGAGAAATGTGTGGTTTGATGCGTGCACGGGCCAAGTGTGATTGACCAATATGTTGGCATGTGGGCGTTGAGTGTGTGAACGAATGAGAAAGCGAGTGTGGTGTTATACGTGTGATAACGGAAATCCCTGAGGTGGTATCATTACGCGGGGAATTGGTCCGTCCTGAGGCGGTACGACTACGCGGGACGATGCCCGGTATTACCGGAGGACGGCCAACTTGAGGTGGTACTATTACGCGAGTTGTGTCGTAGGTGGTGGGTGTTGAGCTTGAGGCGGTACCACTACGCGGCCAAGATACACGACTTGAGGCGGTACCATTACGCGGGCCCTGAAGTGTTGTTATGAGTTAGTCGCAGTGGACTTGAGGCGGTACCTTTACGCGGGTCACTGGCGAATTGTGTGGAAATAATGTGATGAGGCAGGAATGAGTGCGTGAAATGAAATTAGAACGTGTATGTGATTGGAAATTATACTACTGTGGCTAACGTGCAGGTTGCACGTAGAAAAGGCCCAGGTAAGTATAAATTGTGTGCCTGCGATGTGATGGCTGAGTGTGATTGTGATTGTGATTGTGATTGTCTGGAGGTACGTGATAGCCTAGGTGGGGTTTAGGGTGTGTGCTTACTGAGATGTATTCTCATGGTTGTTTCAACCAAAAATTTCAGATCCCCGGCCTGAGCAATGCATCTCCCACCGTCGCCACCTGAGCGTTTTGGAGTACCGATGCACATCGACCACAGTGTTATAGAGTATCCTATGGATGGTAATATAGCCTGGGTTAAGCATACTATAGTAGTTTGGGTAGATATAGGGTTACCCCTTTAGCAGGCCCATACCTATACCGCTTGGTTCTTTCGGGACGGGGTAGATGAGTTTGGCCCAGTCCGGGGTTTTGATGTCCCCTTCGACAAAGTTGGAGATTGGGATCCGTCAGCCATACCCCCTCCCGACGGCGAGATGACGAGCTTAGAGACTAGCCTGGCATAGTCCGGACTTCAGCCTGCGCCTGCAGCACCTGAGCCTTCGGGGGCCGAGTATGATCCGATGGACGTGGACCTCGAGGTAATTCCCGAGGAGGAACCAGAAGACGATGACCGTGAGGATGAACCTGAGGAAGCACCGGAAGAAGAGCCTGAGGATGAGCCTGAAGATGAACCGGAGCTCGAACCCGCGGGCGCGCCAAAGTATGAACCAGAGAACGTTCCTTGGTACGATCCTGAGTATGTACCAGAGGATGAGTCAGATGAGGAGCCAGTTGAGGAAGAGCGGGTTGAGGTTCCAGCAGAGTCGGGCAATATAAACAACCCGATCGAGATTGAGGCCAAGCCGGAGTCCTCAGAGGAGCAGACGGTTCAGGGAGAGTCAGACTCGAGTGCCGAAGAATCAGATTCTGAGTGGATGCCAAGCAGAGGGCGTAGGGGTTAGTGTAGGGGTTGGGAATAGGCTTTTTGAAGTGTACCATTTTTGGTGATAGGGTACCCAGGCTATCGATCCTTTTTGACGTCGAGTGGTATATAGTGTAGGAGTTCGGTGTGCTTGTATATATTGTGGTTTGTAAGTTATGGATATTATATAAGTTTGAATCGATAATGGATGTGTTTATTCTCCCTGTTTACCCCAATTCTTATTGTCCGGGTATTGATTGTGGCTTTCGCCGATGGGTATAAATCTCTGATAAGTTGAATTAGGTCGGCGACACCCTGGGACGTCGCATTAGTCGACCAGAGAAGTATGTTGCGTGCTCGATGGGGTTCGGGGCGTGACATCACTTGTTGATTTGGTATCAGAGCGACGACAGCTCGATCTAAGCTGGTCAAAGTCTGGAGTGATAAGGAGCAGAGACCCTGGGGTAGTAATTTAGGGAGACCTTAGCGAGTCGTAGGGCGGAATAAGCTATATGTGCCTCCAGATTGTTTGTTGTGATTGTTGGGTGAATTGAGTGTTATAACGATTGAAATGCAGGTGCGTCTGGACCTGAGGTAAGTGCACAGACCCTATTGATTGTGGCCTTGTGCTGTAATGATTAATTACCTACTGAGTGAATTATTGCGTTAATTCACTGCCTAGGACTAGACTGGCTAGTTGGCCTAGGTTTCTAATTCCTGAGTTGAATTATAGCAGGTAGTCGAGTGGTAGAAATCGTGAAAATGAGTTCGCAAGGTAGAGGAACTAGGGTCCATCTAGCTCGCGAGCCCAAGCTCGACCTGCAGAAGATCCTAGAATGGAGGCGGTCATGAGGACCCTAGAACAGATCGGTAATTTGATAGGACAGCAGACTTAGGAACGAGCTGCCACGATTGCCCAAGCTGCCGAGGCCACTGTGGCCGCTGCTGCCAATAATAATAATGGAAATCAAGGGCAGGGGCAGGTGAATGCGTATAGGCGAATGCACCAACTAGTGGAGCAGTTTCTGAAATTAAAGCCTCCTAAGTTTAATGGTAGAGGCAATCTTAATGGTGCATCGCTGTGGGTGGAAGAATTAGAAAAGGCTTTTGAAGTATTGGGGTGTACAGACGAGGAGAAAGTGACATTAGCGGTATATCAATTGCAAGGAAATGCAAATGATTGGTGGAAAGCCACCAGAGGAATGATATTCCCGGCTGGCACAGCCCAGACTTGGGCGATGTTTATAGAAGCCTTTAATGGCAAATATTTTTCTGAGAGTGCCTGGGAACAAAAATTATCTGAGTTTATGAGGTTGCGTCAGAGGCAGAGGACAGTAGATCAGTACGAGGCCGAATTTGCTCGGTTGTCTAAGTTTGCCTCGAAGATGGTTGAGGACTCGTTAGATAGGGCTCGAAGGTTCCGAGATGGCTTGAAACCAGACCTTCGCAGCCAAATGATTTCATTGAATTTAAGAGGGTATAATGAGATTTATGACAGGGCCCAAGCGATTGAGCGAGACTTGGCGGATAGGGCCGCCGCTTCTGGGTCGAGGTTTGCCCAGGGTAGAGACAACCGTCAGTTAGGGAAGAGGCCAATGACGGGTAATCGACGTTTTGTCCCTCCTGCTAAAAGGAATATAGGGAAGCCGGCCCGTAATCAGAATGGTCCATGTCGGGTGTGTGGGGAAAGGCATGGAAATGGACCTTGTCCAACCAAGGGCGGTGCATGTTTTGGATGTGGTGGATTTGATCATCACATAAGATTTTGCCCCAGCCTCAGGCAGAATAGATCGCTTGCGTTGCCGCCACCCCGGAATGGGAACCAGACTGGAGTGGCCTAGATAGCTAATCAGAATAGGCCACAGGCGCAAGGACGGGTGTACGCCATGGCCAGAAGAGAGATTGAGAATGCGCCAGGGGTTGTCACAGGTACGGTTTCTCTGTGCGACCATGTTGCGTATGCTTTATTTGACCCTGGGGCGTCACATTCCTTTATATCTAAGCAATTTGTTGAGTTGATTGGTATAGAACCACAGTTGCTTGATGTTGTGTTATGCATGACAACTCCCTTGAATGATAAGATGCTAGTTTCGTTGGGGTATCCGAATTGTAAGATTGTGATTGGTGATAGGGAGGAAATGATTGATTTAGCGGTTCTAGCCATGTACGATTTTGATGTGATAGTGGGTATGGACTGACTGTCTAAGCAGAGGGCCGTAATGGATTGTAATAGCAGGGTGATTTAATTTAATCCCGTTGGATATCCGGAATTCAAGTTTGTGGGAAATCGAGGAAGACCCTCGATTCCATGGATTTCGTCGCTAGAAATGACTAAGTTATTGAATGAAGGGTATCAAGGATTTCTAGCGGCTGTAGTTGATTCGACGGCTGAGGAGCCGAGGCTAGAGGATATAGCCGTGGTGTGCGATTATCCCGATGTTTTCCCTCAGGAATTGCCGGGATTGCCACCATAAAGAGAAGTAGAGTTTGTAATCGAGTTGGCACCTGGAACTGAGCCAATCTCGAAGGCACTTTATAGAATGTCGTTGTCAGAGTTAAAGGAGTTAAAGGTGCAAATGCAAGAATTATTAGACAAAGGATTCATTCGTCCGAGTGCGTCTCCATGGGGAGCGCCAGTTTTATTTGTAAGAAAGAAGGATGGATCGTTGAGGTTATGTATTGATTACAAGCAGCTAAATCAGGTGACGATAAAAAATAAATATCCCCTGCCGAGAATTGATGATTTGTTTGATCAGTTATAAGGGTTTTCGGTGTTTTCTAAAATTGATTTGAGAACGGGGTATCATCAATTGAGGATTAGGAAGGAGGATATACCGAATATGGCATTTAGGACGAGATATGGACATTATGAATTTACGGTAATGCCATTCGGATTGACGAATGCCCCTGCTGCCTTTATGGATTTAATGAATCGGGTGTTTAAGGAGTTCTTAGATCAATTTGTGATCGTTTTATAGACGACATATTGGTGTACTCGAAGAGCCTAGAGGAGCATGAGTTTCACTTGAGTAAGGTGTTGCAGACTTTAAGAGAGAACGCACTTATGCTAAGTTTAGCAAGTGCGAGTTCTGGCTCTGGCTTAATCGAGTAGCATTTCTCGGACATGTGATCTCTGGGGAAGGAATCTCAGTGGATCCATCGAAGATTGAGGCGGTAATAAAGTGGCCGAGACCGACGATGGTAACAGAGGTTCGAAGCTTTCTGGGTTTAGCAAGATATTACCGACGCTTTGTGGAAGGATTTTCGGCAATAGCAACACCGTTGACACATTTGTTGAAAAAGGAAACGAGGTTTGAATGGACCGACAAATGTGAAAGGAGTTTTTAGGAATTGAAACATAGATTGACAACGACACCGGTGTTGACTATTCCATCAGGACCCGGAGGATACGAAATTTATAGTGATGCGTCATTGAAAGGATTGGGGTGTGTACTCATGCAAAATGGACAAGTAGTGGCCTACGCGTCAAGGCAGTTAAGACCGCATGAGTTGAACTATCCGACACATGATTTGAAATTAGTCGCAATAGTATTCGCCCTGAAGATTTGGCGACATTATCTATGCGGAGAGAAATTTCAGATTTATACCGACCATCTGAACCTCAAATATTTATTTTCTCAAAAGGAACTTAATATGAGACAGCATCGGTAGATGGAGTTGTTGAAGGATTATGATTGCGATATTTTATATCATCCCGGGAAGGCCAACCGGGTAGCCGATGCATTGAGCCGGAAGTCAAGCATCGCATATTTGATGGTTAAGGAATGGACCTTGTTGGAGAAAGTACGAGATTCGGAGTTTAGATTTGAAGTAAGTCAAGTCTCGAGTTTGCTAGCCACGCTAAGGATTGAACCGGAGATCCAAGCTAAGATTAAGACTTTGCAGTCTACGGATCAAGAAATCCAAAGGATTCTGGAGATGGATGAGACCAAGAGAAAGCCGAACTTTCAGATATCCGAGGACAGGATACTGAAGTTCCATGGACGATTATGTGTGTCTGACGATGCGGAACTTAAGGAAGAAATTTTATCGGAAGCGCATCGTAGAAGTTATAGTATCCACCCAGGTAGTACCAAAATGTATTAGAATTTGAGATAGTACTATTGGTGGAATGGTATGAAGGTAGACATAGCCAGACATGTGGCTAAGTGACTGACGTGCCAGCAAGTGAAGGCGCAACATTGTAAGCCTAGAAGGCTATTGCGACCTTTGGAAATCCCAGAATGGAAATGGGAACATATAACTATGGATTTTGTGACGGGATTACCAAGGAGCCAAAGAGGCCATGATACTATTTGAGTGATTGTTGACGGATTGACAAACTCAGCACACTTTTTGGCTGTGCGAAAGGACTTCGCATTAGATCGATATGCTGAGTTGTATGTGCAAAAGATAGTTCGTTTGCATGAGGTACCAGTGACGATTACTTCAGATCGTGATCCTAGATTCATCGCCAATTTTTGGAAAAGTCTGCAGATAGCATTAGGATCAAAGCTGCAGTTCAGTACAGCTTACCATCCACAAACGGATGGCCAGTCTGAAAGGACGATTCAGACTTTAGAGGATATGCTTAGGGCATGTGTATTGGATTTTCAGGGTAGGTAGGAAGAGCAATTGCCCTTAGCAGAATTCGCGTATAATAATAGTTTTCAGCAGAGCATCAGAATGGCGCCCTTTGAAGCGTTATATGGCAGGACTTGTAGGACGCCCGTGTGTTGGGACGAAGTAGGAGAAAGGAGTATAACCGGGCCAGAGTTAGTTCAACAGTCAGTTGAGGCTGTTAAGGTAATTCGTGCAAGGCTGAAAACAGCTCAAAGCCGTCAAAAGAGTTATATAGACAGAAGGCGAAGACCTTTGGAGTTCCAAGTAGGGGATCACGTATTTCTTAAGGTGTCGCCTATGAGAGGACTATCCAGATTCAGTAAGAAAGGGAAGTTGAGTCCGAGGTACATGGGACCTTTTGAGGTTTTAGAAAGGATTGGAGAATTAGCTTATCGCCTTGCACTTCCGCCAAATTTATCGCAAGTGCATAATGTGTTCCACGTATCGATGTTAAGGAAATATGAACCGGACCCAACTCACGTGTTGAATTATGAGGAGATAGAAGTCGATGACAGAGTGTCATATGTCGAGAGACCAGTAAGGATTGAAGATAGGAAAGAACGGGTTCTAAAGAATAAGACGATCCCGATGGTCAAGGTCGTTTGGGAACATCACGAGACAGAAGGCGCGATATGGGAAAGCGAAGAGCAAATGCAGCGTCAATACCCCCACTTGTTTGAATAGTTAGCGTGATTTGTAAATTTCAAGGACGAAATTTTTATAAGGGGGGAAGAGTTGTGACATTCTGAAATCCGACCCACTTGGGATTTATGAAATGAATATTTTATAGACGTGCTTGTAGTTAGATCTCGCCCGGAATTGATCACTTCGAGAATACTAATTGTTGGGGAAAGGCTAATTAGGGATTTAAATTCGCACGACCAAAGAACTCGATTGTGAACCGACTTTCGACCATGAAAATTGTCGAGGTGACATTTTGAGCCACTGTAGGCCGATCCAAGGATAGCCAGGGATCCGTTCGCCACTGTCATATTAGTGGATCGCGGGTGATTTCGCTGGACCACGAAATGAATTGACGAATGACCCTAAACCTATACCAAACGATCGTGCCCATCGGATCTAGTGATCAATCCTCGCGATTAAATGACAATTGAGGTCGGCACGACCCAAGTAAACTTGTACGTGGCATGATTCAGTATCGGCAATGGGTCAAATGTGCGAATTTCCCCAAAAGCCACCCGTTAGTATGAGATACGCGCAAGTTACGTTGTTTAGAACTTAGTCATTAATTAGAGACCAAGTTGGGCATTGGAAATTTAGAAAATCACGGCGGATCATTTGGACGATGTTGTCATTTGCCCGGGTAACCTCGGTTTTATCCGAATCCTTCAGAAAAATTTAATTTCGGCGAGAAATGGAAAATGACCATTTTACCCTTGGAGATTTGTTAAGGCCAATGTAATTTGGGAAGGGCATTTTGGTAATTTCGCCCTAGCCTTAGAATTAGAGATTTTTGGACAATTTTACCCTTGGACTTTTTAAGAAATTCCCAAATTGCCCTTGGATATTTTGGAAAAGATTCGATCCGGACCGTCGATCTCAAGATAAGATCGAATCTAGGCTGTCGATTGGAATTGTGAGAGCAGGGCATAATGGTCAATTGGCTCCCAATAATTGACCTTAGATTATTTAAGCCAATTTTCCCTCTCTCTCTCTCTCCTCTCTCTCTCTCTCTCTCTCCTCATACTCTCTCTCTCTCTCTCTCATTCGGCTCTCTCTCCCTCACCCTCACCGAACCGACCGCCCCTCTCCCTTGTCGCGCCGCCGCTCGCCGGCCACCGTCCGCCGTGCCACCGCCGTCCCATCACCGAACCGCACCACCACCCTCACACCGTCCATCTCTCTCTCCCCCTCCCCCTCCCGTGGCCGTGAGTGAACCACGGCCAAGGACGCCGCTCACCGCTGCCCACCGTCCAGCCAACCGCCACCGTCGCCGAGCCGCTCGCCGCCGCCATGTGCCGCCGTGAGCCACTGATCAGCCGCTCCCCCTTCCCACTCTAGCCGAGCTAGTCTAAAGTTCGGGTAAATCACGCCCTAAACTCTATTTAGGACTTCGGATATCGACGGACGAATTAGAATTTAATCGGGTTAATTAGGGGCCGTTTAGGGGTTATTAGGGGCTGTTTAGGGGTTAAATTAGTGGATCGGTTTGAGGATTGATATGGGCTGATTTGAGATTGAAATTGTGACGTTTCGAGGCTGAATTGACGCCGAATTGAATGCTGGAAATTGGGATTTGCAATGACGAGTATTTGGCTCGATTTAAAGGCAAATGGTGTCGGTTTGGTGCACGATACGGTGGCTGGAATGTGATGTTTGTTATGGCTTGAAATGAGTGTGGAAATGCTGAAATTGCGTTCATTATGTGGCTGTATTTGTGAGCCCGTGAGCGGCCTGGTATGTTTGTTGTACCGTGACTTGATTGTTTGAAATGTGCTTCGTTATGTGCATGCTTGGGCCGAATTGAAATTGACTGTCAATTGGCCGTGTTGGGTGTTTATTGAGCTTGAGAAATGTGTGGTTTGATGCATGCACGGGTCAAGTGTGATTGACCAATATGTTGGCATGTGGGTGTTGAGTGTGTGAACGAATGAGAAAGCGAGTGTGGTGTTATACGTGTGATAACGGAAATCCCTGAGGCGGTATCATTACAAGGGAATTGGTCCGTCCTGAGGCGGTACGACTGCGCGGGACGATGCCCGGTATTATCAGAGGACAGCCAACTTGAGGCGGTACCATTAAGCGAGTTGTGTCATAGGTGGTGGGTGTTGAGCCTGAGGCAGTACCACTACGCGGGCAAGATACACGGCCTGAGGCGGTACCATTACGCGGGCCCTGAAGTGTTGTTATGAGTTAGTCGCAGTGGACCTGAGGCAGTACCATTACGCGGGTCACTGGCGAATTGTGTGGAAATAATGTGATGAGGCAGGAATGAGTGCGTGGAATGAAATTAGAACGTGCATGTGATTGGAAATTAGACTACTGTGGCTAACGTGCAGGTTGCACGCAGGAAAGGCCCAGGTAAGTATAAATTGTGTGCCTGCGATGTGATGGTTGAGTGTGATTGTGATTGTGATTGTCTGGAGGTATGTGTTAGCCTAGGTGGGGTTTAGGGTGTGTGCTTACTGAGATGTATTCTCATGGTTGTTTCAACCAAAAATTTCAGAACCCCGGCTTGAGCAATGAATCTCCCACCGCCGCCACCTGAGCGTTTTGGAGTACCGATGCACACCGACCACAGTGTTATAGAGTGTCCTCTGGATGATAATATGGCCTGGGTTAAGCATACTACAGTAGTTTGGGCAGATGTAGGGTTACCCCTTTGGCAGGCCCATACCTATACCGCTTGGTTCTTTCGGGACGGGGTAGATAAGTTTGGCCCTGTCCGGGGTTTTGATGTCCCCTTTGATGGAGTTGGAGATTGGGATCCGTCAGCCATACCCCTTTCCGACGGCGAGATGACAAGCTTAGAGACTAGCCTGGCACAGTCCGAACTTCAGCCTGCGCCTGCAGCACCTGTGCCTTCGGGGGCTGAGCATGATCCGGAGCTGGAAGAGTCCCAAGCGGGGTACGATCCGATGGACGTGGACCTCGAGGTAATTCCCGAGGAGGAACCAGAAGACGATGACCCTGAGGACGAACCTAAGGAAGCATCGAAAGAAGAGCCTGAGGATGAGCCTGAAGAAGAATCGGAGCTCGAACCCGCGGGCGAGCCAGAGTATGAACCAGAGAATGTTCCTTGGTACGATCCTGAGTATGTACCAGAGGATGAGTCAGATGAGGAGCCAGTTGAGGAAGAGCGGGTCGAGGTTCTAGCAGAGTTGGGCGATATAAACAACCCGATCGAGATCAAGGTCGAGCCGGAGTCCTCAGAGGACCAGACGGTTCAGGGGGAGTCAGACTCGAGTGCCGAAGAATCAGACTCTGAGTGGACGCCAAGCAAAGGGCGTAGAGGCTAGTGTAGGGGTTGGGAATAGGCTTTTTGTAGTGTACCATTTTTGGTGATAGGGTACCCAGGCTATCGATCCTTTTTGACGTCGATGGTATATAGTGTAGGAGTTCGGTGTCCTTGTATATATTGTGGTTTGTAAGTTATGGATATTATATAAGTTTGAATCGATAATGGATGTGTTTATTCTCCCTGTTTACCCCAGTTCTTATTGTCCGGGTATTGATTGTGGCTTTCGCCGATGGGTATAAATCTCTGGTAAGTTGAATTGGGTCGGCGACACCCTGGGACGTCGCATTAGTCGACCAGAGAAGTATGTTGCGTGGTCGATGGGGTTCGGGGCGTGACATTATCTCCGCAAGATGGCGAGGTATTCAGATAACATGCCACTTCTTATTAGCACGTTTCAAGACAGTTTGAGAGGAGCGGCCCTCGCATGGTACCCAACTCTTGACATAGAAGACTTCACTGAATTGGACCATTTAGCGGGAGAATTTCTTCGCCAATACAAGTTTAACGTTGAGGTACTTCCAACTAGAGAAAATCTCGTCAGAATTGAGAAACGGAAGAATGAAGGGTTTAGAGCCTATGCCCAAAAATGGAAAGCTGTTGCCTCACAAGTAAAGCCTGCCGTAAGTGAAGACGAGATAAGCTTCATTACCAATTGAGTACTATGATAAGCTTCATGTGTCAGGCTGTCAAACATTTACCATGCTGGTAAAAGTTGGTGAGAGAATTGAATGGGGGTTGAAAGAGAAGAAAGCTCAAGAAGCAACAACACGGAGGCCTTACCCTGGGAGAAAAGACAGAGCTCATTCGCGAAGTGGCTATGATGTCTAGCCCAAATACTCATCAAACCCCATTTCCAAAGCTATCCAACATCGTTTGGAAAAACCCGAGGCTGTTCGAGCCAAAGAAAAGGCCATGAGGCAAGACACACCGTTGCCCCAACCTCTGTCAAAACTATTACCAATGCTTCTAGAAAGGCATTTGGTGGCCAAAGAGGTGCCAAGGGACAATCCTGCAAGATTTCCTTAGTATGAGGAATCGAAAGCTTGCACGTATCACATGAGAGAAAGGGGACATGACGTAGATAATTGTCCCACTTTAAAGTATAAGGTTCAACAACTCATTGATAAGAAGATATTGAACTTCCAGGAGCCTGAGTCAAACGTACATCAGAATCCTCTTCCTGAACTCAATACGGTAAACATGATTAGGAATGAGGAAACAATGATGGGATTTGATGACGAAGATGAATATGAAACCAAGATAAAAGCTTCTCGATTAGGGGATGCCCGCTTTCGTCAAGAAACACTCCTAAAAGGCGAAATTGTAGACAACTTGGGAGAGGATTCCGGAAAATATAACTTCCAAGTGAAGTATACCCCACCACCATGGGCATTCAAGAATGAAGTTATTGTGCCTGATGGGTGGGGTGGCATGGACGAAGTCCCAATCAACCAACTAAATCTCGAGGAGAAAGAAGATCGAAAAGAGAAAAAGAAGAAAAAGACTCGCCGAGGTGATAGGCGATTTGCCCGCAAAGCACAGAAACAAGATGAAGTTGTTGATTTCCTAGGTCAAGATAGTGTCCGGTACAATTACCGTGTCAAATATACACCTCCTCCGTGGGCGTTCAAGAATGAAATAATCACACCTGATGGCTGGGGTGAAATGGATGCTGACGAAGCCGATAGAAGCACGGTGTCCATGATCACACCATTTCTAATTAAACTTGATGAGGTGGATAAATATAAGGAGGAAGAAGGTCCTGTCGAACTAATCATTATTCAATTGCCAATTGATCAACTAAAGATCGAAGAAGAAGAGACACAGCCTGTGATTATCACTCTCCCTCCAAAAGAAAAGTTTGACACTAGGCATGTACCCTGGGATTACATTCCTAAGGAACTTGATGCTATAACCCGATTGGGGAGATGTTATGTCCCAAAAGAAGGTGAGCGTGAAAAGAAAGGAGTAAGTGAAGAAGATGTTAAGCAATTGTTTTTAGTCATGAAGACAAGCGAATTTGAGGTAATTAAATAGCTAAAAAAGATGCCAACACAGATTTCTCTGTTGGATCTTTTCAAGACCTCAGAAAGCCACAAAATTGTGCTTATAAAGCTTCTCAATAAAGTGCACGTCCCGGAGACAATTAATGAAGTGCAATTTGAGGACTTTGTTGGCGCTATTCTTATGAAAGATTAAATCACTTTATCTGATGAAGATTTCCCAATCGATGGGCGTTCCCATAATAAGGCCCTATATATTGCTGTCAAATGTCGGGGCAAGGAAGTATCACATGTGTTGATTGATAATGGTTCTGCACTTAATCTGTGTCTGCTAAGCACGCTACATCGCCTGGGGATTAGCGAGGAGCTCATTAGACCTTCTAAGGTAACTGTGCGCTCGTTCGATGGAATGAAAAAAGACGTTATTGGTGATATCGAGCTCGAGGTAAACATAGGCCTTGTACCTTTCCTGATTGATTTCCAAGCGGTGGATATTCCGAGGACTTTCAACCTGTTACTCGGAAGACCTTGGACTCATATGGCTGGTGCTATTCCTTCAAGTTTTCATCAGAAGGTTAGATTGGTCATTAATGGCAAGATGATCACTGTACATGGAGAAACGGATTTCATCACTTACAAGGAGAGTGCAATATCGTATGTCGAACCCGAAGTGAAAGAAGAACCGAGTTACCATTCCTTTGAAATGATTTCAATGGTATAAATCCCCGTCGGTAGCATCATAAGGTCCCCAGAACTCTCAACATCATCCATTATGTCTGGAAAGGTTCTATGCCAGTGTGGATTCACTCCCGGTAATGGTCTTGGGTTGAAATCCCAAGAAATCAAGGAACCTATCACTCCACTTGCTACGAAAATGAAACACAGAGTGGGTTATATTTCAGATAACTCTAAAGATCACCACGAAGGCCAAGGCTGAGGTCGAAAGAACCATGGAAGCTATGGAAGCCGAGGTGATCGTACCATTAACCCATCAGTATGGAAGGGTAAAGCTAAAGAGTTTCTCTATCATCATATTTATATCAAAGAAACCTTTCCTGGACCTTCCAAGCTGTTGCAAGAAAAAGATCTACATACAAAGGAAGAATCTATTCTACCTGGTTTATTCAAAGAAAACACCATCAACGTCATCATAACTGAAACAGAAGATACCTACGCACTGGAGTAAGAAGATTCTCTTAAACTTTTGCTACCAGTCTTTTCCATTACAGTTTGTTGTTTACAGTTTCTAGCTTCATATTGATTCTGTTTGCAATTTCAATTCAGTTGTAATTTCCATTCCTGTTGATATAGATATAATCACGTCTTTCAATTCAATAAAAGTGTTCAAATGCTTTGTTAAGGACGTATAGAAGCGAAACCAAACCTATGATGAACATCGTCCTCATTCGTGAGGCTTGAAACTTTAGGCTTCTATGTTGCTCCTCATTGCAAAAATGACTTTTAAGAGCAAGGAAGTCTGATGATATGAGGACTAGCTCTGTCTTTATATTCTTTCAAAATGGACTTCAAAATGAATTTCCAAAAGGTTTTTCATAAGACCACATGCATTGTTATACTTTGTATGCGATTACTAATCATGTTTGTTGCATGTCAGGCATGAGCATTCGCATATCCATAATAGGTTCTTATGTGGCCCGAATCTTTTCGAGGAGATCGCTTGTGATATCAAAGAAGATAACGAGGATGAAGAATGGGTCAGAAAGGAATGGATTCGTCATGAAGAATCAAAGCTACTTACATTAGAGAAGACAATCACCGTCAATTTAGGTGATAAAGAGAATCCCAAGGAAGTTAAGATTGGAGAAAGTCTTTCATTAACGGAAACAAAAAGAATCATTGAGTTACTCAAAGAATATCAAGATATATTCGCATGGTCCTACGCTGACATGCCGAGTCTCAATCCGAACATAGTTGAACATGCTTTGCCAATCGATCCAAGTATTCCTCCAAAGAAGCAGAAACTTAGGCGAACAAAGCCGGAATTGGCAAAGAAGATAGAAGAAGAAGTTATGAAATTGCTCAAAGTCGGTTTCATCAAAGTGGTACCATATCCAGAATGGGTTGCTAACATAGTATCTGTGATGAAGAAAGATGGTCGGGTACGGGTTTGCGTCGATTATCGTGACCTAAATAAAGCAAGCCCTAAAGATGACTTTCCACTTCCACATATTGATGTATTAGTGGATAATACCACTGGGTTCGAAACATTTTCATTCATGGATGGTTTTTCAAGATATAATCAAATCCTCATGAAGAAAGAGGATAAGGCGAAGGCATCCTTCATAACACCATGGGGCACATTCTATGACAAGGTGATGCCTTTCGGTTTAAAAAATGCTTGTGCCACATATCAAAGGGTAATTGTAACTTTGTTCCATGACATGATGCATAAAGAAATCGAAGTATATGTGGATGACATGATCGTAAAATCCAAATAAGGAGAACATCGTGTTGAAGTGCTTCGCAAGTTATTTGAAAGACTCGGAAAATACAAGTTGCAACTAAACCCCAATAAATGTGTATTTGAAGCAAAATCTGGCAAACTGCTAGGATTTGTGGTCAGTAGCAGGGGCATCGAAATAGATCCCTTAAAAATTAAGGCAATATACGACTTAAAAACTTCTTCTACGGTAAAAGAAGTGAGAAGTCTATTAGGGCGATTGAACTACATTGCTCGTTTCATTTACCAACTTTCTGAAACTGCTAAACATTTTTCAAATTGTTGAAGAAAAATGTCAAAGTAAAATGGGATGCAGAATGTCAACAAGCCTTTGATAAGATCAAAGAATATCTGGTATGCCCACTAGTGCTGGTACCCTCGATCCTTGGGATCCCACTGATCATGTACTTGACGATTCACCATGAATTGTTAGGAGTTGTTCTTGTCCAAGGAAGACTGAATGATGGTAAAGAACAAGCCATTTATTACTTGAGCAAGAAGTTCACAACATAAGAAATGAATTACCCAACAGTC